AGAGAGAGAGAGAGAGAGAGAGATCCCCTCCCATAACTTCTCACCACCTACAATGGGAAGAAGATCTGGCCCTGGGATCATGAGAGCAGGAAAGCTAGCCATGCCTTTTACTAGCTGCAGTACTCAGGAGAATGGGCCCTAAAGCTCACCTGGGAAGGAAAGTAGATCTGACCCTGATGTCAGTGGTGGGTGCATGATCCCATTCTCTTCCCCTTGCCACCTATGGCAGGAGAGCTGGCCTTAAGGTCATCAGAGCAGGAGAGTTGGCCCTGTTCCTCACCTGCTGCAGCACCTGAGCAACACAGTAGAGCTAGCCCTAGATATAGAAGTTGTAGGTGACCTGATCTTGAGAGCACGGGTATAAGAGAGCAAACCCTGCCTCCTGTCTGCTGGGTGGTGGAGTGGATGAGGGAGAGATGCCTTCCTCCCTTTCCTCTTCCTTCACCAGGTATGGCAGGCAGGAGAACTGGCCCAGATGTCACAAGAGTTGGAGAACTGGCCAAGTCCTCACTGGCTGCAACAGGAGAACAGGCACTACATCTCATCTAGGCAGCAAAATAGAGCTGTCCTTGGTAGTAGGGGGTTGCTGGTGATCTGGCCCTGAGGCCATGAGAGTAGGGGAGCTAGCAGGCTGACCAGCACAGATACCACTCAGGCCCAGACAGATCCAGGGCTTTGAACTGACCCACCCCGATATCTACCCCATCTATGCACTGCTGGAGTGCATGAAGGGGCTGGTTGCACATATCCAAACCTACAGGATTTCCATAACACAGGACAATAAGATATTCAAAAGGAATCCTAGTAAGGTTCCAGGATTGGTAGATTACCAGAAGCTAGAGGCCACGTATCAGTCCAAGGAATTGGTGCAATGAGTCTTTTTGCAAGCAAGAAGGTATAGACAAAAGGGAATACTGAGGAACAAACACTGTCATACTACAGCTTCCCCAATGAGATAGTTTTTCTCTGTTAGTGGGGAGGTTGTAAGGGTGGAGGGCGGGTACAATTGGAGAAAGAGGTGAGTGAGATTGGGTTATTTGATGTGAAATTTACAAAGAACCAATAAAAGCTGAAAAATGATTTTTTAAAGTAATGTTTTAGTGAACATAATAAGCAGGATTTTGAAGGCTTCAGGCTAATAGCAAACTGTGAGTCTGCAAATACTGAAGAACTGATTCTGTCTTTTAAAGGAAAAAGTATAGATTAAATGATTAAATAAGTACCATTGATCCAAGAAAGAATTAGTATCAAGGATTCAACCTATATTAAGCATGGTTAGGAAAAAAAACTGCCAACATAAATCCCACACTAGCTCTGCTTCAAGCAATTTAGGGTTGCATTAATTACCTAACAGATACATAATCTACCTTGTCTGTAAGATACAGATAAAATTCTGTCAGCTCTGAGTTAAGTGGTCAAGTAAGAGGCTGGACAGAGAGCCAATCAAGAATTGGAAGTTTGAGCTGGTCAGTGGTGGTGCACGCCTTTAATCCCAGCACTTGGGAGGCAGAGGCAGGTGGATTTCTGAGTTCAAGGCTAGCCTGGTCTGCAGAGTGAGTTCCAGGACAGCCAGGGCTACACAGAGAAACCCTGTCCCGAAAAGTAAAAAAACCAAAAAAAAAAAAAAAAAAATTGGGGGTGTTTGACACTGTTTAAAAAAAAGCAAAGGAGAGACAGGTAGAGGCAATTCTGAATCACAAAAGAGAAGAGTGAGTGCTAGATAACACGCACATTTGAGGTAAGGAAAAGTCAGGCCTTTCTTTTTCAAAGTGACATGAGGAAGAGAAGCTAATGACAATAGTAAAGTGAACTAGAAGTTTCTGCCAAATGTAAAACAGGCAGGAAAAAAACAGTGTAGGAAAACTGAGGAGTGAGGTTAGAAATAGCTACAGAAGCACTGAGAATGGAAGTTAATATGAAAGTTAAGGTGTAATCTGTAGCATATATGTCTCTTCATACTTTCCAGACACATCAGCAAAAGAAAACTATTGCCAACTCCCAAAAGGCCTGGGCAGCTTAAGATAGGAGTGTATAGCTTGCTTCTAAACATTCTCTGTGTGTGATAAGTGGACATGAGAATAAGAGAAAGGAAATATTTCAAGGAACCAGAATATAAGACATTTCTCAAAAAATATCAAATAGATTCGGGAGTCAATCTTTCTTGGAAAGGTTACAAGACATTGCATAGCTAAGGTCAACCAGTCAGTGGAGGAATGGATACCTATCACTTTCAGATACTTACTGGTTTTCTCTATAAATTGGAGCTCAAATAAAAAACTTCAAAATAACCTTTTATTTTTTGAGGTGGGGTGGTTCTGTAGTTTTATAGCTGACTTCTTTCCTCACTTCACTAAGGTGTCTTGTCTTTAACTCATGACAGATAATTTGACTTTATTTACATGAACACACATATACATACATACACATGTACACATGCACACAATTTCTCACACATTATTCTTTGGGTGCCAATGCTTCTGAGCAGAGTGTATGACAAGCTGGGCATACAATAGCTAATAAATACAGTCTAATGGAATTACCTTCCAAATAATGGAAGGTAATCTACTGAAACTGTCATTTAAACATAACCCAGGCACCTCTGTAGTGGTGGAATGCCCAGTTTCTTTATTACTAAACATCATGGATCCTCAGTGGACAAAGGAAGGGTACTTATGTCTAATAGGATCAGCTGATTTTCTCTCCTATGCCAAATGTTTCCCCTTCACATGAGTATTTCTGAATCTTCAGAGATACCTTTAGGAAAAATGAAACATTAATAAACAAGAAAACTATGATTTTCCTTTTCTAAAGACTACCAAAAAAAAGTAAACTACACACACTTTATCTTAGATGTAGACAGGCAGTCTTGGCTGTGAATCTTTAAATTATTAAGATCTAAATCTAAGGAAGTCTATGTACTGAGTTTTTGTCTTCCCCTAAATGTTATATTAACACAAAATGGCTGTCTTACCATTTTAGTATTTAATTTTGGAAATAGCTTTTTAGCTTGCAGGATTCAGTTTCCAATGTTACTCCTCTGTTCATGGTCACTAAAATCTCAGGGCTAGAAGGGCATGAATTATGCCTTTTAGTGTAGTTCTCTGAACACAAATTGCTGTTGGCTGTGAGATGCCAAATCTTTTAAATTCAGACTCCATTTTAGAAAACCTGACCTAAGTTAGGTCTAGACTAACAGGCTAGTACTATACATTAGTTTCCAAGTTATCCCACAACAAAACCCAAGCCTAACTCTAGTCTCTAGGCTCATCCCCAACAAGGCCTATGTCTCCAAGTTACACCCTCAACGGGACCAGCATCTCCAGGTTATTATCCAAACAGATCTGCACCCACCAGATTACAAGCCCACCCCCTGCCTAAGCATTGATAATGCTACAATGTTTTCTACATTATTATAAAAAGGAAGAATCACTTACCTTTTGCTTTCAACCAAAAAATAGAAGTGATAAACCTTAGTAAGTTACATGGATGATAACAGCCAAAATATCACAAAGTTAACCTCTTGTGGCAGTTAGCTAAGCTGCAAATGCAAATTAAAAGTTCTTGAAGGAAGTTGAAAGCATTTCTTCAGGGAACACATACGTTGAAATCAAATAGCCTTACTGTTAATACAAAGAAAGTTTTGGTGATCTAGATAGATGAAACCAGATATAGCCTTCCACTAAGCCAAATTCAGAGTGGGAATTTGATCTTTTTTTTAGGTCTATGAAAGATAAAAGACATATTATTGATGCAGAGAAAATGCAGAAGCTATCAGGGTATGGTTCAGGAAGAGTAAAGACACACCATCTCCATAATGTGAGGCATGTAGTGAGTTAGAGGATGCTGATATTGAAGCTGCAGCAAGTGATCCAGAGTTTGAGGAGGATAAAGAATTGCATAAAGTAACTGCTGTATCAGGAACTTCTAACTAGTCACTTTAGTTAAAACCAATGTTCATTTCTATTCTCAGC